CTTAGCGTGTAAAAATATCTTTATACCACCTAACTGCCTATTCTGTACTTCTCCTGACATCTGGAGAACAGTCATTGTGAATAGGTGTGTGGCTTCATTTAATTGTGACAACAATTTTTTCTTTCACTAGAAAGTGACAGAATGGGGTATGTTCCTACTTTTATGTTATCTCGATTAGTTTGTGTGTTAGGTTGAAATTACAGGAGTAGAAAACAGACATGTAAATCAAGAAGTAAATCAAGAACACTTTTTAAAAAAGAGTCAGCCATGTTTGAACTCTACAAAGCTAGTAATGAGGTTCAGGAGAGCTCACATGTGCTACTAGTCCTAGGATCTCTGAGTATAGAAGAGAAACAGGAAAGCCCTGTTAGAGAGCTTTTTTTTTAGTGTAACCCTTACCACCTATTGCCTAATTATTTTGTTTATAGAATGGAAGTGATAGTTATAGAAAAAAGAAACGGTTCTTATTACTTCCCTTATACTCTACTGCTAGCCCCATCCAGGAAAAAGGACTCTTAATAGGGCTTTGAATCCAAGTATTTTTCTGCAAAGAGCTCTGTTTTGGCATCTGATTGAATTTCGTAGTATTCCAATTTTCTCTTTCTTAAATTCTTATATCAGTGATTTTTACTGTCACGTTATTGCTAATTGCTATATAGAGCTATACCATTTTCTGAAGTATTTTTGTACTTAGTGTCCTGCTTCCTGAGCTATTCTGCCCTATATAGTATCTTCTGTTCCCAAGGTTACCTATATTATTATCAGGGATATTTCACAAAACAATGGCCCCAAACTAGCCTGTGTAGTAATTTTTCTTGGGTAATAGTTTAGAAAATTTTAGTTGTTACTTTTTCTTGATTACTCTCTGAAAGCTATTAAGTTTATCTACTAGGATTTTAGTGCCCTGCGTGATTTGTTAGGATGCCCTTCTCAGAACCAAGGAATAATTATCTTTGTTGCATATTAGTGATTATCTTTTTAAATGAGAGTAGCAGCTGTACCTTATTTCTGTTGGGAGGTAAATAGCCCTGCCAGTCTAAGACATATCATACCACTTAAAAAAAAAATCTCTCCTCTTTTTACAATGTTTACTTAAACTTAAATGGATATAAAGCCTCA